TATTATTATTATTATTATTATTATTATTATTATTATTATTATTATTATTATTATTATTATTATTATTATTATGCAAAGGGACACAAATTTTTTTTTGTTTCTCTGCAAATATTCCGTCTGCTTCTTTCCACCTTCCAAAGTTCTCTGCAATTAGGGGCGACCAGGTTTTCAAACCAGCATTTAATTCGGGTTTGTTTCGAGCGTCGCGGCCTTCCCCTTTCAAACACCCTGTGCTTTGTCACCCTCTCTCTCTCTCTCTCCCCGGCTGCCAATTTGGAGCACGTGCCAGTCCTTAGGCCTGGCACGAGTGGCTGCCAATGCGGTTTGACTCTCGTCATTTGCGGTCTAACCAGGTTGGTTGGGGGAGGGGTGAAAAATCTACCCTCGCCCCAAACTGGGCTGGTTTGGATCGCTGAAAGAGGAGAAAAAGGTCTGGTAGCTTTTAGGGATCCACAGGAAAATTGGAGGCAAAATGCCAGGTTGTATGTAGCAAAAAAGCTTAAAGTTTAAATTCTGGCCAGTTTGCACACATCACGTTGTGCTAATACAGACTGGGGGGCGGCGGAAAAGGTGTTTTTAATTCAGACAGAAGGGCAGAAAAAAAATCCTTGCTTTAGCCCCCCTTTAGGGCTTGGCCCAATGTGGCAGGAAGACTGTGGGGTGCCATTGCTTGAGAATTATTCTGAATTTACCAAGAGTCTGCTTGAGCCCTGCTATCAAATAAATTGGCTTTCGGGAGGATTTATAAACATTTCTTGGCTTGCAAATGTTGGGGAAGGAGGGTCTTTATCTCTCCCCATGGGGGTGGGCTTGATTTTATTTTATTTATTAAATTTATATGCTTTGTTACTCTCCACCCGCATCCCACCCAATGGCCTCCCTTACTAAATGCTAAGGCCAGGCCCCTTATTCTGCGGCTGCAACCTGGCGTCCTTCAAACCTACTGGTTGAGGACGATGGACATATTTTGGAGGTGTTTGGGATTAAAAAAAAAAAGAGGTTTAAAGTGAAGAGAGTGGGTAGATGTAACCTGCAGGTTTAGGCAAGGGGGGAGTTAGCAGATCAAAAGTATTTAAAACTTCCCTTAACTTAGAAGGAACTTAAAAGCAGTATGATTTGCCCCCAAGCCCATTCAAGACAGACAGACAGACAGACAGACAGACAGACAGACAGATCTGTTTGGAATTGTTCAAACCCAGCTAGAGAAGGCTTGCCAAAATGTAGAATTGCAAGAAACTTTTTTCTTAAGGAAAAAGGAGGAAGCAAAGAGAAAAGAATTCAAGATATTGATCAAGAACAGGTTTTTCGAGGCTTTTTTCGACCTGTCCTTCTGTAACGGGGGGAATTTGAAATAAATTACAGAAGGAAGAAGTGGACATATATTTTCCCCAAGAAAATTTGGAAGGGTTGGGGTGCAAAGGCACCCGACCCAGAGCAAAAATCGGGGCGAAGGGCCTGTCTTTTGGTTAAGATGCGATGAAGGGGGTGGATATTTTTTTTTTCCTTAAAATTTATTAAAATGAATTTGAGAGGGCTGCCCATCTCGTGGAAAGTGACTTTGGGCAGTGTGCAATAATCCAATAAAGAAAAGGAAGAAAACAAAAAACAAAACCCAGGATTTGGCTTTGAGGGCGGATTAAAGATTTTCTTTTGGCTCCCTTAATGGATTTTGACAATATTTGGCTTTTAGAAAACATGTCAAAGAGCAATACAGGAAATAAGCAGAGGCTCTTTTTTTGGACTCTTTTCCTGTTCTATGAGTGAAGTTTAATTGAGATGTGGAATAATTTTTGAATTTGGGGGCTGAGATGGTCTCAAGCAGCACCAAAAGAGAGTCAACCCAAATTTGGGAATGGAGAGGAAGCCCATAAGAAGCCCCCAAATTCTTTCTTTCTTTCTTTGTCTTCTCCTCCTCCTCCTCCTTTCTTTTCTTCTTTCTTCATCCTTCTTCCTTTCTCCTTCCTTCCTGTCTTCTTCCTTCTTCTTTCCTCCTCCTCCCTTCTTCTTTCTTTCCCTCCATCTCCCATCTTCTTCCTTCCTTCTTCCTGTCTGCTTTCTTCTCCCTTCCTCCCTCGATCTTCCTTCTTCCATCTCCCATCTTCCTTCCATCTCTTTTCTTCCTTCTTTCTGTCTTCCTTCCTCTTCCTTCCTTCTCCCATCTTCCTTCCTCCTGTCTTCTTCCAGATCCCATCTTCCTTTTTTCTTTCTTTCATCCTTCCTGTCTTCTACCTTTTTCCTTCCTTCTTCCTTTCATCTTCCTTCCTCCTTCCTTCTCCCTTCTTCCTTCTGCATTGATTTGGAGACAGAAACTCAGCGGGGTGGACTGTAAGGAAGGGGTCTCTTTTTTGGGGGGGCCTGGCATCTTTGCCTGCTTTCAGCCCCCCCCCACCCACCCCCCTTTACAGAAAAGCTCCCACTGGCAGCTCGCAGGGCTGGGCTGACGTGGCACCATCAGGCCAAACTACTGGAGCGTGACAAGCTTAGCTTTTCCACTTCGTTGCCTGTTGTGACAGGCAGAGGCTAAATATAGGCCCTGCGCCGAAACCCGGGAAGAAATGGAGCATATTTTGCTGATGAAAAAAAAAATGGGGGGGGGAGAGAATAAATACAAAAAATTAAAGATTGGCAGAGAAAGGGAGACCGGCTGGGATGGGGAGGACATCACGTCGGAAAAACTTCTCTCTCTCTTTTTTTAAAAATAAAACTGGGCCAGAGGAAGAAGAACATGGAGCCAAAGCGGATGGGCTTTGTAGTCCTAAAGTGGCACAAGTGTGCCACAGCTTCACACACACACACACACACACACACACACACACACCATGGCTTAAGTTCCACGAAGCTGGAAGGAAAAAATATATACCTGGGTGTACAAACATTCAACCCGTAAATTAACAAGCCAGCTTTCTAAACCTGGTTGTTTCCCATAAAATATCCCTTTCTCTCCCCCCCCCCCCCGCCTCCCCCTTTAGTGATCTCTGAATCCGCAAACCCATGGCACGTGTTTAAAATTTTGACATGCGGTGAATAACATCTAGAAAAAAGATACTTATAATTTGATACCATTTATACCAGCAGGCGAGATTGGTGTATGGCCAAAACTGGAAGAATGAAGATACCCCTACAGAAAGTGAAATAATAAGGGAAAGTTTAAGTCTGTGCAGAGATGGACAGACTTTAGAAATCAAAGATAAGGGTGAGACAGAGTATTAGGAAGTCTGTAGTAAAATGTATCAATGGCTAGAGTCAAGGAAAAAGAAAGAAAAGGTTGACGCTTTATAGGAATGAAAGTTAAAAGTTTTGTAAACCGAAGAGAATGGAATATAACGGACCAATATGAAATGATACGATGGATGAGTATAAAAGACGGTTGTAAATATGTCTATAATTGTAGATAAATGTAAATAGAAATAATATGCAGCTACCACTATACTAATAACATATGGGCAAAAGGAAATTAACTGTGTATCTCTATACTACAGCTTGTATGGCCAAAATGATGGCCAAGAAAGTCGCACTGTGTTTTTAAAATTTATTCAATAAAATTTATTTTTAAAAAAGAAAGTTAGCAGCAGAAAGTCAGTATGTTTCTGTCATCCTGCCCAAACTGGCCAGATGTTAGCCTGGAGCCCAGCTGGGGAGAAAACCGCCCAACTGTGCTGGCTATCCCAGAGGCGATACGTTAAGGTAGACTGCCTCTGAACACCGGGCTCTTTGGATTTTTGAGTTTGGAATATCTGTTGTCTACCAATTTAGGGGGTCTTTCCTGCAGGGATTTAGAGCTTCCCAGGAAGGGACCATTTGGGGAAGGGCCTACAGATTTGGCAACAAAAGGGGGGAATGTTTTTGGCGAGCCGTGTGTGAAACCCGTGTTTTTTTCCCTCCTGCAGGATGCGCCTTCCTGACGTACTGTGCCCGGGAATCAGCCCTCAAAGCCCAAAGCGCGCTGCATGAGCAGAAGACTCTGCCAGGGGTAAGTCCGAGGGCCGTGCCCACCTGTTGTGCCAGCCAGGGGGCCTTATCGCCCGTTGCAACTTGGAGCAGATGGCTTCAGCGGCAAACACCATCTGGGTAGGCCTGGGCACACATGGTGCATGGAGTCCTTGTTTCTCCTTGTTTGCCGGTCTCTTTCCGTTGTTTGCAGAGGCCCGGTTTCTCTCCTGGATGATTGCAAGCCGAAAATCATCTCCCAATAGGTTATTTAAGTGTTAAAAGAGAGGCCGGATGTGCTTAAGGGCAGTTCCTTTGGAATTCGCCATCATTCGGGCTCACTCGGAGTATTTTCTGGATCTACTAGTAGACGGGGGGGGGGGGTATTTAGTCAACAGTGTATGACTTTCTCTCGATAAGTCTAGAATAGAATAGAATAGAATAGGATTCAGGGTAGAGCAGAGCAGAGCAGAGCAGAGCAGAGCAGAGCAGAGCAGAGTAGAGTAGAGTAGAGTAGAGTAGAGTAGAAGAATAGAGTAGAGCAGAGCAGAGCAGAGCAGAGCAGAATAGAATAGGATTAAGGTAGAGTAGAGTAGAGTAGAGTAGAGTAGAGTAGAGTAGAGTAGAGTAGAATAGAATAGAATAGAATAGAATAGAATAGAATAGAATAGGATTCAGGGTAGAGTAGAGTAGAAGAATAGAGTAGAGTAGAACAGAATAGAATAGAATAGGATTAAGGTAGAGTAGAGTATATATATTTTTAAAGTCTTCACGTAGGTAGAAAGTGTGTTTATGATTAGCTGCTTTTCTACACCGAATACGGCACCCCAAGTGCAGAATCGAGTACTTGGAGAAAAATGAAATGATTTCTTTTTTTCTCATTTGAAAGGAGTCATCCAAGTTTCTAGTCCTCACCGCACCCAGCAAAGCCTGCAAGGAGAATTGTGGGGGGGAGGGGGAGGATCGTTCCCAGGCCTAATCAGATTTGCTTCTTGTCCAGGGCATTAATTCTTGACTTAACCTCCTTTGCTGGGGCTGCAGTGGGGGTGGGGGTGGGGGGGATAAACTCACCAGAGAGAGGCGGTCAAGCCCTTGGCCACCGAGGAGAAAAGCCGGCGGTAAATAGGATTATGGAATCGGAGGATCAGCCGCGGCCCTGCTCAGTGAAATCGGGGCGGTCAGGAGAGCCCGGAGGGAGGCTGGCATCTGCCCTGGCGGGGGGGGGGGGGGGGGGGGAGGAGGGCTGGGCAGCAGGAAGAGGCTAGGAGGCCTTGACCTGGGTTTAGGAAAGAGCCAGCCAAACCAGGTTTAATCCTGGCAAGAG